TTTTGTACTTCGTCGCACAGATCCTTGTTGTCGCTCTGTTAAAATTCTTAAATATTTCGCGATAATAATGGATACAAACAGAGACTCAGCCCACCAGTCCCAAAACGAAGACAATTTTGCGACCCTTGGGCTACAGTTCTTAAATGAGGCATAAAGAAAAAAAAATGTAAAATTGGGTTGAAGACTAGCTAGATATAACAACTTGGGATAGCTATTTCATTTGGAGGATGAATTCTTAGATTTTACCCCGTTTTTCTAGAATTTGTTGAGAAAAATGGATATCGGGGTAAAGATATCATATGGGAACTTTGGGTATTATCCACTTGTAGCATGAATGCTCAGAATTTACCTCGTTTTTCTAATTTTCACTGATTAAATGGAAAATCGGGGTGAAGATGGCATATGGGAACCTAGGGTATTAGCCACTTGTGGGCCGAATTCTCAAAATTTATCCCGTTTTTCTAGAATTCATTCATCTATTTCATTGGATTTGGAATTCTAAGATCTATCCCACTTGAAGGACGAATTCTCAGAATTTATCCCGCTTTTTTAGAATTCACTAAGAACACAAACCTCTTTTAAAATGTGTAATTTTTTCTATCTTTCATTTTAACTAAGACTAGCGAGCCGCACAAAGAAACACTTTTTGTAGTTGTAAGCTTCTCATTTATTTCGAACGCGTTTCGTCCCTAATTGAGACTTTTAGGGATCGAATGATTACAATTAAAGAGGAACAGTACATTATACAGCGCGTTGTTGTGTCTAAGTTTTGAATTTCTATGGAAGTTAATTAATAATAACTGAAAGCGGGCCAAATGCCGCTACGAGAACAAATACTACTTGAAGAATAGCTAATTACCACCGAACACCACGATAGATGCTTTAGCCCCATTGTAATGCCGCAATTGCAAATAACAATAACATTTTTCAACACACTTCTTTATATAAACTAACTTGTAAGGAACGTTCTTCATTAAATCTGTCTGATGAGTGCGTAAGCACGAAACTT